CCCGGACTCCGCCGAGAAGAGACCATCACGGTAACACACGCAGTTGATTCATTTTAGTTAAGTTAAGGTTCATGTTATCTACAATCGGACATTAACAAATTCCCATCTGCCCATAACCGTGGGCACGGCTTTCGAAAGTTCAAATCCCTGCAGGGGAGTCCCAACTTAGCCCATCACAAGCTCTCATGGTCAACGAAGGATAAACCTTCTCCCGGGACATTCCAATCAGACTCGGCATCCCGGTTCTACAAGACAACTTTGACAAAGATAAAACAAGTCCAGCAACACCGCCCGAATATGCCGACAAATCCCGATAGGAGCTGCACATATCTCATTCTCAGGGCACACTCAGATAGGTCAAGCTACGAGTAAAACCAACCCTCGAGTTTCCCTGAGGTGGCCCCGCAGGCTGCCCAGTTCGGACCAACACTCAGAGGAGCACTGGCCCAGGGGGGTTTAAATAAGATGACCCTCGGGCTCCGGAAACCCAAGGGAAAAAGAGGCTAGGTGGCAAATGGTAAAACCAAGGTTGGGCATTGCTGGAGGAGTTTTATTCAAGGCGAACTGTCAAGGGGTTCCCATTATCATCCAACCACGTAAGGAACGCAAAATCCGGAAACATAACACCGATATGACGGAAACTAGGGCGGCAAGAGTGGAACAAAACGCTAGGCAAAAGGCCGAACCTTCCACCCTTTACCAAGTATATAGATGCATTAAGATAACAAGATAATATAGTGATATCCCAACAATAAACAATGTTCCAACAAGGAACGATCTTCAAACTTCACCTACAACTAGCAACGCTATAAGAGGGGCTGAGCAAAGCGGTAACATAGCCAATCAACGGTTTGCTAGGACATGGTGGGTTAGAGGTTTGACATGGCAATTTGGGAGGCATGATAAGCAAGTGGTAGGCATCGTAGCATAGGCATATCAAAAGAGCGAGCATCTAGCAAGCAAAGATAGAAGTGATTTCGAGGGTATGATCATCTTGCCTGCAAAGTTGTCAGAGTTGACTGGATCCTCATAAGCAAACTCAACGGGCTCCTCCTTAGCGAACTCATCTCCCGGCTCTACCCAAACAAGACAAACAAGCAAAAGGAACACAATCAACCACGTGCAAAGCTCAAACAAATATGATGCAAACATGGTATGCTATGCGGGATGCCATATGTGATGCATCTGCAAGATTTGACAAGGAATGATTGAACCTGGCATCAACATGGAAATCCAAGAGTGCCACTGGAAAGGTGAGGTGATTTCGGTTGAAATCGATATAAAGATCACCGGAAACGGATGCACGGTTTGGAAATGGCAAGCAAAACAAATATGGCACCGGTCTGCGATAAACAGCAAGTAGCCATCTAAATGCATCAAGATAATTATGCTACAGCACTCAAACAAGACAACAAAATACATGGCAGGGATCCACTCATGATGCTTGACAAAAAATGAACACTGAGCTACGGCCATTTCATCCATTAACAGGTTCAAACAAGCATGGCAAAAGTGCAAATAGTAAACAGGTTTCAGACTTAGTGGAATTAACACAAGTTTGGAATTTAACATCAGGTAGCACACTTTGGAGCAAGAAAACTACCTGCTACAGGAACTTAACACAGCAAAGCAAGGCATGAAATGAAGCTACTCGGAGCACTTAACAAAAGTCCCTTAGTGACCTTGAGCCAAAAGGGAATATAAAATACAATTGCAAGCATGTGAACATGGCAATAACATAATCAGGTTACAGACTTAGTGAAAAACTGGAGCATGCAAATCTATTAACGAGTAGGCATGTTTACGAGCTCGATGCACTCACTACGGAGCAAGGCATGACAAACTAAGCATACATCCAACAAGAATACATATCATAGAAGGTAGACATGGCAAGAACAACAACATAGCATGCACGGATCAACAACAACATCCTCGGCAAAATCGTTAACAAATAAACAATCTGTCAGGATTCACGAAATAGCAAAAGTAGAGCTTGATTGACTCAAGCTAGGGTGCTCCATAATTGCAAACAATGACATGGATGGATAGAGCGCCACAATATTAACAAATCATCCTTACTGATCATCCTCAAAAGAGGCACGGATCACTAGGAAACAGCATGAACATATGGCATATTGACAAAAACAGATCAAGGAATTAGAGAAATTCTAAGTCCCTGAAATCAGCATTAACGAATGCACTACTTTGCAAGCTTGTGCTAGTCACCACACATGTCACAAAAATACAAGGTAAGCACCTATGAAAAGATGGCATGGCATATAACAAAACACATGTAGAGCTCAGGAGCATATAATGCACACATTAATCATGGCAAAAATGACAAATAGCTATTTGGTGCAGCAGATCTGACAATTATCTCAAATAGCTCTCTTCCAATAGCATTTCGGGCATCAAGATGAGCTCAAATGAAAATGATGCAATGAGATGAAATGGTGTACTCTCTGAGACGAACATTTTGATATGCTACACGCGCAAAACGAAGCTACGGATGCAAAGTTACGGCATGATGAAAAACGCAAAATAACTAGGGTTTTGGGGGAAAGTCAACCGATCCAAACTTTAGATCTGGATCCAGATCGGCGGCGCGGACGCCGAGGTTCGCCGGAGCTGCACTGTTCACCGGGATTCCTGTATGCCGGAGATGAAGGAGGAGGCCGGGGCAGCGTCGGTGGTGGTCAGCGAGGTGCGGCTCGCCGGCATCGAGGTCGGGGTGGCGCCGGCGTTGGGCGGCGGGTCGCCGGAGCCGGAACGGCGAGGAGGCGCGGCGGAGCTTGCTCCGGCCGGCGACGAGGGGCTGCGGCCGGCGCGGATTCTACGGCGGCGCGGCGAGCCGGGGTGGAGGAGGACGAAGGCGGGCGGCGGCGGATCCGGATGGGCCTCGGGGGCCAGATGCACGCTCCCCGGGCCGGCGGCAGGACAAGCGGCTCCGCACCACGTGGCGGAACGTGGTTGGCGGCGGCGGGACGTCCGGTTAGGGTGGACGTTGTCCGACGGCAGAGAGGGGATTTTTAGGGTTAGGGGGGAGAGAAGACCCGGGATTTTCGGGACAGGGTCTATATATAGGCATAGAGGGAGCTAGGAGAGTCCAAATGAGGTGCGGTTTTAGGCCACGCGATCGTGATCGAACGCTCTAGATGATGGAGAGGGTTTTGGTGGGTTTTGGGCCAAAATGGAAGGGTGTTGGGCTGCAACACACACGAGGCCTTCTCGGTCCCTCGGTTAACCGTTGGAGTATCAAACGAAGTCCAAATGGTACGAAACTTGACAGGCGGTCTACCGGTAGTAAACCAAGGCCGCTTGGCAAGTCTCGGTCCAATCCGGAAATGTTTAACCCCCACATACGGAAAAGAGGTAGAATGGACCACCGGAGGAGATAGGAGCGCCGGAATGCAAAACGGACAACGGGGAAAATGCTCGGATGCATGAGACGAACACGTATGCAAATGCAATGCACATGATGACATGATATAAGATGCATGACAACGACAACAACACACCGAGACAAAAACCCGAACCCGAGGAAATAAAATAACTTAGCGCCGGAAACGGCAAGAGTTGGAGTACATATAAGGTAAATTACATCCGAGGTGTTACACCTTGCCTTCTCCTACCTCCCGGAAACAGCTCAAGGAGCAACCGTGTACACACTTTGTCATAGTGATCATGCGGAGACCCCGCAGAGCAGCAGTAGGGGTATTATCTCTACGGAGAGCTCCGAAGCTGGGTAAGATTCGCCGGCGTGCATGCCTTCGCCTTATCTCATTCCAGGCACCGGCGACGTTCTACTCGCCCCCACCATGATAAGCCATCCTTTGGCATATGTCGCACCCAACCCCCGACACTGGATCTCCTAATTTTTTTAAGTTTTTTCCATTTGAAAGAATAATTAGCAAGCATAGTGGATACCTCGGCTTTGGATATTTTTATTTTTCTAGTAACAACATCCTTATATACTTTTTTTGAAACGTATATCCTTCATACACTTAGTATAAGGAGGCATCTTAATAGCATCAGTCAAAGGAACACGAAGAAATAGAGGTCTAAGCAATTCAACAAATTGATTAAATGCCTCTTCATCTCTAAATTTTAGTGTCTTACTAGGAAAAGACATGTTTTGTACCCATGGTTTTCTCTCTCTCTCTCTCTACCATGTTTTCTAGCAACATAATCTCTTTTATCAGATCTTTTATTCCTAGAAGGTGGATCATATAGGTCAACTTGATGTTCTACTTCTACTCCTTTTCAGGTTTATTATCATCATTAGGTGGAGCATCATTGTCAATATTATTATTATTATTATTATTATTATTATTATTATTATTATTATTATTATTATTATTATTATTATTATGACTAGGTTCATGCTCTTCACTATCTTGGGTTTCAGCATCAGAGAAAGATGTACTACATTGCATAATTTGGTGGAGAATGTCACTGTGCGTCAAGCAATTCATGCATTCAAGCAAGGTGTCAAGTATCGTGATTTGAATATAAAGCTTGGTCACTCGGATATTTTTACCCTAAGCCGATTGATGGAGATTGCTAACGCTATGCGAATGGCGAAGAGGAAGATCTAATCACGAGAGGCAAGGACTGTGTTGAGCCATCTCAACGAAGAAGCGGAGAAACAATAATCACTCAGGTCAGAATACGAATAAGCGTAAGTTGGATGTCAGTGACGATGTCAATGACGCCGAGCTCGTGGCGATGGACAACGAGACTAGAAGGAGTGGACGCCTGATGTCTCAAATGTATTTATAATTTTTAAAGTTTTCATGCTATATTCACATCATTTTTATTTGGACTAACACATTAATCTAGTGCCAAAGGCCAGTTCTTATTTTCCAATGTTTTTGTTTTTCAGGCCAAAAATTTCAGAGCAAAAAAATCTGAACATTTTATCAAAATTCTTTTAAACCAAAAGACTCCATCAACCATAAGATGAACCCCAGGGGACGCACCAAGTGCCCTCACGCTGGTCATGTGGTGGGGGGCGTGGAGGCTCGGTAAGTCGGCTGAGGCTCTCCTTCTGCGGCAAGAAAGAAGTTATGGATCTTGAGCTATTTAGAAACGGTGATCTACGTCAAAAAAGTAGCGCGGAGCCATGAAACAGAGAGATCCAATCTCAAAGGGAGCCCTCTCTCATGGTGATGTACTAGGTTTGGTTCCGGTTTATGCGATTTCAGAGTTCCAGACCGGTCCAGACAAATTTGATCCAATCCAGACATTTTGGGACAATTTGATACACCACGGTTTGAGACATTAAGGACGATTTGATGAACAACGATGAAGTTGTCCTTGCAAAGACAAGGTGGGACGCGTGGGTCTCCGCACGTTGTGAAGAAGCCGATAGGTTTCCCTCCGTTTCCACAAAAAAGTAGCAAGACTTGAGTTTGCAACGTCTGGTGATTTTTTTTCTTCCGGTAATGCTATTCAGCTCAAGTTTGCTGGGAGAAGATGGCAAATCAAACGTTTTTATGGCAATTTATATTGTTGCATGGATGACAACTTTAGTTTGCAATCACGGAAAGTCCTGGCAAAAAAATGAACGGAAGTGATTTTGCCATATTCGCCAACTAAAGTTGACATGCTCGACAAACATAAATTGCCAGGCAAATCATTCGCAGTTGCCATGCTTCCCAGCTGACATTCACCGGATAAGAGGATCCTTTTATTTTGGAGTTTGCATATTACATATACTTGGTACAGACTTTCAAGTATAGACGGAGCCTTCAGGTGAAAATGTTAAGACATTATGTTTAAAAGGACATAGAAAAACGCGAGAGATTTGACAAGCAAAGGCATCAAGTTACAGATAAAGAAGGATTATCATACTCAACTCGCGAGAAGCGAGCTGCTGTTGGTTCAAGAACCCTCTACTCACTAGCTTCACAAATCCTTTTCCCAAGTTCTACTTACAATGTTGGCTAGTTCCCCGCATAATATAATAATAAAAATGCAGCCTAAACGACCCAAATTGCCTAAAATTGAACCAATTTTTTGTAATGCAAGGATGCTCACTGTGAATAATAAGGTGAGAGTTTGCGGAAGCTACAATGGTGGTTGACTGTAACTGATCACAGAACTTTCACGCCACTCGGTCGTTTACCTTCCATGGCATCCTTCTTGTCGCGGCAATCAGAACAAAGGAAAGGGCCTTCCCATGGCTTAGAGCTCGAAGAGAATACTGAACCTACATGAACTGATGTACCTTCACTTGGTTCAAGATCTGCCTGGCAGATGGCACATGTAAACAAGCTTGACGATGTTCTCCGACTACCTGAGTCATTACCCAACCTGTCCAGTGTAGTACATCAACTTACCATTATTTTATAATGGCATTCCACTTGACAAATGAAAGTACATTCGGGTCATCATCTTCTAGAACCAATGAGTAAAACAAAGAAAGTTCAAACAGAAATGAGTAAAACAAAGCACTGAGTTGAACAGAAATGGAGAAAAAGGCTGTTCTAAACTAAAGTTCCAACCCATTACAATGTTTAAACCTACTAGGTAATTGCATGTGCGTTGCAACGGGGCTTGAACACCAATCATGGCTACTATATCCGCTTAGAATCCTCATGAACATTAAGAGGGATTGTCTACTGCCTCCCCCATCAAAGCACTTTTCGGCTCACCACCTCTTCAATGACACATCCGGC